AATAAATTCACGTGAAGCAAGAGTTATAGCAAAAAAAAAAATTACTTACCTTTTCATACATATTCTTATCAATTTTGAAGTAAGCCTGTGCACCCAATCCTGGGAACCCCTCTCCCAAAACCCCTTACATTTATTTTGAACGTTCCCTTACATAGCCATATTAATTTTTCATTTTCTGGTTAATGTAGTTGTTGGTTTTTGTTTGTTTGTTTGTTTTTTTAGCGAAAAGCAGTACAACGGACTATCTACGCAGTATCCACCGCGAATGTCGAATCCCAAACTTTAGCGCTTGAAGCCTACAAGCTCATCGCTCAACCACTAGCATACATAAGTTTAAATTAAGTCAGTTCAGCGATACCTAAGGCAGTATCCACCGGGAATGTCGAATCCCAAACTTTAGCGCTTCAAGCCTACAAACTCATCGCTCAACCACTAGCATACATAAGTTTAAATTATGTCAGTTCAGCGATACCTCCAAAATCTATTAAACATTTTTTCTGAGGACCCCTCACGATTCTTGTGATAATAGTCTCTTCGTTTATATGGGACACCAGTAAGTTTACGGACTTACATTGCTAAAATCTGGGGTTCGATTCTCCACGGTGGACACATCAGATAACTCATTGTGGCTTTTCTCTAAAACAAACAAATTTAAGAGTCTGCATGTCAAATTTCAAGTTGTTTTGTCACAAATTATTGAAGAACTTCAAAATTACTATAAAGAGATACATAAATAGGTATATTTGAGGATTATTATATAAACCGCTGACGGAGATGATGACGTAAACAAAAAATAATATTAAGTACTTTAAAATATATTTGCCCTTATAAACCCAATGTTATGAATAAGCCAAATGTAGGTTTTCTTCGTGTCTGGCGTCTTTCAACAAGTGTCATTATTCATTCTAGAAATTAACGAATTTATTACATCAAAATGTTGTTTTTATTTAATTAGACACTCAACGTTTCGCTTTACAGGTGTTTTAGCAAATGCTCCTGATGAAGCTGTAAAACGAAACGTCGAGTGTATAATTAAATAAAAAACACCATTTTGATGGTATAAGGTCCGTTATTTCTAGTATTAATATGTCTTCTATACACCAATATGCACTACAGAAATTAAATAATGATTGGTCATTATCTACAACGTTTAACATTTGATTCACGAAATTATATAAACTTATCTACTGTTATTTTTCTGTTTAATAACCTCATACTGGAAATTGGAAACGTAAAATTTAGCGAAGGTGATGTGAATTCTGTTTACCAAACTTTTTAACACATATATAGCCCGAGCGAATTTATTTACAAGTGGATCACTAGTATCGCCCCCCCCCCAGTGGTACAGCGGTATGTCTACGGACTTACAGTGCTAGAAACAGGGTTTCGATACCCGCCGTGCACAGATAGTCCATCGTGTAGTTTTGTGCTTAACTATAAACAGTTTAAACACTCTTTTCAACTGCTGATTTATCTAAGGAGTATTAGCTGGATTTATAAGCTTCTGCTTTATTATTCAAAACATAAATAAACATATGGAATTAGGTTTGAAAGCGTTAAATTGATAATAGCTTCGTTTTGTTGTGAAAAAGTTTCATATTAAGTCAGCAAAGCCTAACGAGTCCTATTCTTTGAGAAAGTGAGGGAGACCCTAGTAATGTGCAAATCGAAAAATGTACATTTTTTCAGTTATTTTTAAAAATAGTTTGATTAATTATCATAAACAAATTTTTTGAAAGTGGGGCTTGTATCATGTTGAAATAATGAAAAAATAAGTGCGTGTCTATAGCAGAATGACGCGTAAGTTTTAGTTAGTAGTTTTTTATGTTGTTGTTGTTAACAAGTGGTGCATCTATTATAATTAAATTAATAATTAAAATATTAGTCAGTGATGTAATTTGACCTAATTCACAACTGTGACGTCAGAGTGCGTGCTTCTTGTGTATAAGTGTTTTATGAGTATACATTTTTTGTACCTAGTTAAGTTAATAAGCTGAGTAAATAAAAAATGTGAACTTGACCGAATTTACCAATAAACGGCGAACATAGATTCAAATAATTGTTTTCTTATATGGCTTACAGTGGCACTATTGTTTCTTTAAAAAAATATATATAATGTATGAACAAGTCTTCGGCTCTTTGAATTTTAAGCAAACGAGGAAAAAAAAAAGTTTCTTTTTTCCTTTCTTTGTATTATGTTGTTATATATGCCCATCTCTGTATAGTGGAATAAAACACGTTTTTCATTCTAATGTGAAGTTTAAACTTGTCGTGTTTTTGTTTTGTTTTTCAGTTAATAACCACATTCAATATATTTTGCACATGTCTATTGTTTGTAATACGAAAGAAAATTAGGCTTAAGTTGAATAAAAGCTTCTTTTTATCTTTTATACAATCCAGTTTTGTGCTATATTATTTCTTATGGCCCATTTATCGTTTTCCAAGCTTCAAAAGCGACTGTCTATCAAGAGTAAGATCAACATTCTGCCCGTCGCAACAATAATGAACAAACATTACACTGTATACAAGAAGTAGGAATAATCCTTAACCCATCGAACATTATATTATATACAAGAAGTAGGAATAATCCTTAACCAATCGAACATTACATTGTATACAAGAAG